CGTGGTATAGTAGGCCAAAACCTCCTTTCTAAGGAGGGCCTATGTCCAGCAGTGGACTATTAAAAACTGTTGATGATTGATGATGATGACGATCATTTTTTCTGTGTCTAGGTGTAATGTAGCTATTATATGTATAAATTAAATAATAAACAAAACAGGTAATTTCTTAAACAGTTTTTCTGAAAAATTATATATTCTTTAGTTTCGTATTCGTCCCCCATCCCCGCATCCATTCCCCAATTTGTGGCAGTTGTAAATAAATGCTTTTTATACACAAAGGATTTTCCCATATTTTAACTGAACCTCAAAATTTAACAAAAAATATCCAACTCTCGTAGTTAACATTTATGCATGTATATTTACAGAATTTCCATATTTTTGTTAGCGAATGATGAAAGGGTCTGTCCTTTGTCCGCCAATTATACAACAAATGGTGTACAGCTCTTTGTTTGGCTTCTCATTTGAACATTTTTGTTTTATGTTCACGTATAATACTTTTGGAATAATCTTTTATTTATGTATTAATACGCGAATCTTAAAGATCTTGGGGCCGTTGGAGAGTCATGTTTTGGCATAAATGGGCAAGCTCAACCGGAGTGATACTACGGCCTAGAAGAAAAAAACTTTGGTGTTAAACAACTGTTTCATTGGTTTTTACTGAGTGACGGAGATTACCGGAGCCCAAAACTTTACGTAGAGATGTAGATTCATTCTGCATTCCTTATCATATGTATCACGGTGAGTGCTCTCAGGAATTGTTCGGACTAATTGTGTGTGTGGAAGGATGGTGGAAAGTTGCGGCTGGACTTTCCACCATCCTTCCACACGGCGAAATTTACATCCCCATCACATTGATATTTGACACTTTAGGACACTTTTGCCTTACACAACCAATCTGTGGAATTAATTATCGCCTACGGTACTTTTAGACCGATACGACCTTCAAGAAAAGAGCGTACTCCCACCCCAAAGGCCGGCAACGCGCTCGTGATTCCTGAGATGTGGGCGTTCATGGCCGGAGGTGCTCACTTTCCATCCGATGAACCGTATGGTTATTTGCCTCCTGTATCATGAAAAAATACCAGGTTTACAGGCATAAGCTGGATCCTATTACGAAATTGAGACTACAGTTGGCAAAGTGTGGGTGCCTGTCTCTCTCCTCTGGGGGGATGAAGACATGACCGTTTGTATTTTGTATATTTTCTTAAATTTTTGGAAAACTTCGGCTTTTGCCAATCATTTTCTTTCTTTCTTTGTCTTACCCTCTTCCTAATTCAGTTGGGGTCGGGTCTCCTTATACGTCTGCGCTGTCCTGGATTGTCGATGTACTCAGGATCCCCTTCCGGATCTCTTTCTGCTCACTTAACAATCAGGTGGCGGGCTCTTGCTATACTTAGGGCCTTTTAGACGAAGTGGTCATCCTCGCGTCTTTAGATATGACCGTACCAGCGTAATCGGCTATCCTTATCTTTTTCGGCAATAAATCTAAGCAAGTATTACTGTCTGTCATTTCGTTATTATGCACTGTTGCAAGTGTGCTTTCTCGAGGGTCCAGCAATATGCTCCATAAGTCACGGCTGGTCGTACTGCTATTGATAGTTATTTTGATTTAATAATTAATATTGTTTTATTAGTCCAGATAATATTATTATTAATCAATAGATTTTTGCAGCTTTTTTTATTAAAATAAAAGATATGAACACTTTCACATAGCACATAGGGAAATCAAGCATTGGCCTTCATAACGTCTGTTCAATGAAAACGTGCTTATTTTGTTAAGCACGTAAAACATCACGCTAAGACCCAAAGGAATAGAGCAGTGATCGTTTTCTTCGACAACTCGTAAGATTATGTTAGATCTTTTCAAATAGTTTGGCAGCTAGTTCGACCAAATCCCATTACGTAACTTATGAATCGGTTAACGCAGCTTTTTCCCCTGTTTATGATCACTGTCTCGCTGCTAACGGTTGTAGCGTGATGATAGGTATGTATAATCTTCTTTAAGACAGGTTAATTTGTAGGTTTTTTTTATACGATTGGTAGTTCCAGAGATTAGCATGTTAAGCCAATCTAACGCAAGTTATATATATATATATATATATATATATATATATATATAACTTCAATGCACCTGTTGCATGATATATTACGATACACAGAATTGTACATTGCTTAAATTTCTATCTTTAAGAGAAAGAAATTAGAATGGGACCAAACGGAAAGCATACCTTTTCATTCAAATAAAGAAAAGTCCAATTGGTGAGTAAATGACGGAGTTCTGAGGTAACAAACATAAAAAACATAGAGCCGAATTGAGAATCTCTTCGTTTTTTCGAAATCGGTTAAAAATATAATCCCCCACTGCGTCCCTCTGAACGCGATAAACTCCAAAAGTACCGTACGGAATTACATACGGGTTTCACCAATGGATAGAGTGATTTATAAGCAAGGTTTAGGTGTATAATTTATTAAGGTTTTGTATAAATTCGCTGAAATATGGCAATGAATGTAGCAGAGGTCGGAAAATTATGTCGACTGCGACTTTTATTGGAGATTGCTACGTTAACCAAAATAATTTTTCATCTTAAAATCTATTAGAGGAAACAACTGTGGACAAATATTATCTACTACCTCTACGAAGTCGGAATGGATCGCAAGTGTAAACCTTAAACTAGTTTTTTTAAGATTGTAGGCGACCTGATATCAAACTATTATTCATGTGGTGACGGATTAAAAATACGGAGTGTCACCACCCTTACTCATCCCGTGGGTGTCGTAGGAGCCGACTAAGGGAGCAAACTACGCAGGACAACGACACTGCAAAGAGAAGGAAAACTTGATACAAAACCTATACCTACCCGTCTGGCCAGCGTAGTATAGTATTCCAAAACCTCTTCTCTAAGGAGAGCCTGTGTCCAGCAGTGGTCTGTTATAGGCTGATGATTATGATTGATGATATATGCTGAGCGGCGAGAGAACTTTTATATTGCGATACAGGATCAGCAGTTACTTCGTAGTTCCGTGTGTCTTCGTAAGATGGCACTGCAGTATGTATTTGTTTTACTGCATGTGGAAGTCACCACACTACTACTGGCAAGAGTTGACCAGTATCAACAATAATAATAATAGTTTATTTTTCTCCCACACACATACCAATATTAAAAATACAATACACATTTGATCACTAGGAGACCGCTTTCCAAGCTAGGTATAAACCTGTAATATAAATAACCAGACTTCCATTCCACAGTCAAAAACATAGTCTGAGGCAGTGCAAAATTACAGAGTAGGCAGAACAAGATAAGAAAAAAATACAAAAATACATCTAATGTGGTAGCGTGTATATGACTGTCTGTACGTGTATGCGGGTGTGTGTGTGTGTGTGTGTGTGTGTGTGTGTGTGTGTGAGTGTGTGTGTGTTTGCGTATGAGTATATACAATTATAGTTACTATTATTTTACACAGCTCGCCTGGAATATAAATTAATACTTGATAGCAATGAAAATACTTTTCTATTTTCAAAGACGATAAATTGATTAATCATTTCCGGCGTGTATAACTCGTTGTTCAGTTGGGAAACAGAATGTCAATGTTTATGAAATACCCTTAAAATAACAAGATGATTTGTGACGCCATTCTAGTGAAATAGAAATTTATATTTTTTTATGGCCGTAAATCAAATGAACTGTATTTTAAATCGACTTGAAATATTGGTTTAAATAACAGAACAGAAATTAAGAATATACCTTTTTTCATGTGTTTGTTACGTTGTTTGTGCAATGCTAATTTTAATTATTAGTTTTTGTGTTATGTAACATATCCAATATGGTCATTCAATAGTTTGAAAAGGTAGTGATCCAGGCAACAGGCAACCAACTTCAATTGATTAGGTTATTTTTTTTTTCAATGTGAGATCCGTAATTATGTCTAATTTTTATTCTTTAATAATTAGAACTTGACACATATGACGCACAGAGCCTGTCTCATTGTAACCAGACTCATGACATACATATTTATATATATCATACATAGAATTAAAAACAAAAAAATATATATGTATATCATACATTTCGTTCAGAATGAAGTTGTATCTTTTCAGCACGCCTTCTAAGAAAATACTGTAAAACATGACATTTTAGTAATAACTTATGTAAACTGGTCCTGCAGTATCTAAGCCTGTTAATTGGATGACGTACCTTACAACACATTCCTTTTATACTGCAGAACTTACTTGCTTTAAAAGAGTGTTAGAGAGAAGTTAAGTAAAGAGAGAGTTAACGACCTTAATGTAATCGACAACCCAGCGTTAACTTTAAGAAAACAGTTTCACTTAAAAAAGTAATTATTCCTTTTTACTATACTAGCATTTGCCCGTGGTTTTGCTCGTGTAAAAGGTATTTATGCTGTATCCCTGACAAGGTCTTATCTATCATATTTACTAAATAAAATTAAAACAAGTAAAAGTTAATAAACTTATAATAGGCGCTTAGCCTTTTTATCACCCATATTGTCCTCCATTTCTGGTCTGGCTAACCAATATTGTGTCATCGTCGGTATAACACAACTAGTCATAGTAATGTATAGTAAGCCATTTTTATTAAATATTGAATTCTTTTGTAACCTATTATAGTTTATTCCTGTTTTAACAAAACTGAATACCATTTGATGGGACTACATGTATGCCAAGTTACAAGAAAATCATGTAAAAGTTACGACGACGGCGCATAAAATCAGAAAATATAAACAAAAATTATGGGTCAGTCTGATGAAGGATTATGTAGTTAATTCTTCAAAAGTAACAAACAAAACACACTAACACTATTTTATAAAATATTTACGATGTGAAATAAATACTTTTTAACATAATATGCATATATTCTATACTATCTATATAACATATATATATTTGTTTTTATTTCAGATCTCCATCTCAAATGAGTGGTAAGCGCGAGATGAGCGAGGACGCTGCGCTCGCGCAGTCTCGGGATGCGCGGTGAATGATGCCGCGACGCAAGCGCAGGCTCGCGTCCCGCATTCGCGACTACGTGCGAGGCCTGCTCGCCTTCCTCTTCAGTAATGTCGGCGTTATCGTGCTCGTACTTGCCTATACTATTGCCGGTAAGTAATACATTCACTATTTGTAAATATTATTGAGACTTGCGATATAGTGGTTCCAAGTTCAAACCCCAGCAGGTGCACTATTACATATTAGTATATGAATATATTTGTACAGCAATTGCTGTATGAATTAAGAGGAATACTAATAAACAAGTTCTTTATCATTGAAATTACACACTTAAAAAGATGGCACACGATAGACATTAGCTTAATTCTTAAACGCATGTTTTCTTATTTTATTTACATTTCCTATGGCACAGTACAGATTTCAGAAGGCGGAATTATCATGTTGTTGTTTTTGCATTAGGTGTTTCAAAGTAGAGATAATGTGAGACATATTGTGGTATCTTATCTTTATCGGTCATTCTAACATGATTTAAAAAAATATACCACAAATAGATCTTTGACGACTATTCCTGCGACTAGCCTTACGAAAAAATGCCACAGGTTTACATAAATCCGAATTTAGCAAGTGAAATGTAAGCATCCAGAATCAATTATCTTTGTATGAAAGTATCCTTTTCATTTTATTATGATTGATGATATGATTATTTATGAAAACTTTACAGATTAGAAATACGGAGAGTCACCACCCTTTTTTATCCCATAGCTAATAAAAGCCGACTAATTGGGCAAACTTTGCAAGACAACAGCTCTGCAAAGAGAAGCAAAACTTGAAACAAACCTGTACTGTAAAAAACCAACCTGGCTGGCCATCGTCATATAGGTAGTAGGTCCAAACCTCCTTTCTACGGAGAGGCCTATGTTCAGCAGTGGACTATTAAAGGCTTTTGATGATGATGATAGTTTATGAAGACTAGTATATAATACGCGTCAGTTATCAAAGAATTTAACGACATCTTAGGAATTTCCACGACTCCAAACAATCCACCATTTTTTTAAATCTTTTATTTTTGAGGAACTTTTGGATACTTTACAAAACAACTTCAGTGTATGTTATCATAACTTAAAAGCTAGTGAATATATCTATATACAAGAAAATAAGAAAATATTATGCATCTACAATATAAATTCAATACGCAAAGTATTATGAAATGCCTTAGACTGATGCCAATCCATAAATCATTCTAGCCTCACGTGATAAAGACTTAGCTAAAAAGTTGTCAAATATACCTAAGTCTAACTTATTAATTTTTAATTACTTTATCACTTTTTTTCTTTCGATCTTATTTAGCAGACTTCTTTAATATGTTTTGCAGATCCTCTACTAAATTACAAACTTCACAGTTGGATAGAGCTACTTTTTTCATCATGAAATAATCAGTCCACCATTGCAGTTACACAGTTAGCGAGGTCAAAATAAACACTAATACAAAATGTTCTATGTAGTCGTGATTACTATTTCTTGCGCCTCTTAAAAATCATAATTAATTTTGTTACACGTTTCGTATTACCGTTTCGTATTGCAAATTTCAAAAAATGCCAATTAAATTTTTCACATTTTACTTTGCTTCCAATTAAACTGCGTTACCACCTGTAAAAATCTGTTATGTTCTTTCGGAGATATTCGTCAGAGAAAAAAAAATACTGATCCATATTTTATTATATTTATTGTGCGCTGTTCTTTTTTTGTTAAGTTTCTTTCAATGGGACGACATGGTTCTGCTGTTTGAGTATATCAGCGTATGTACTCGTATGTTATTGGCCGGTCAGCTAATAGAATGTTCCAGTATATAATAGCATCTAAAATTACAAACAAGTGTTTGCTATTGTAGGTGCTCGGCCTCCTTTGCAATTGTTTCCAACGAGCGACGAGTTCCAATTTAGATCCCAGCTTGTTGGCTTTTACGTTGTGATTAAACTGCAGTTACAATTATACTGGCCAAGTATTCATAAAATAACTGAATCACTTCTTGTTATATATTTATTGTTTTGCTATTAATGTGAGTTATGGCTTCGGCTAAATAGTATTCAATTAAAATTGATTGAAGGTGTGTCATAGACCGAGATAGATAATAATTTTGACTGCACGGATGGCGTAGTGGTTTAAGCGGTCGCCACGCTGCTTCCTACTACGTCGAGTGTTGTGGGTTCAAACCCCACACGGGACGACACTTTGTGTTATCCACAAATTGTTGTTCTGAGTCTGGGTGTTCTTTGTGTTCGTTTCATGTGTGTTTGTAAAGTACCCCGCGACTCAGGATGTATTCCTAATGCGGGAGTTGTCTTTAAAAAAAAGAAAAGAAAAAGAAAGATTTAAATTGGTAAGAGGGATCAGACTTTTCAACAACAGACAGAGTTTGCAACTCTAACTTGCTAGTAATCACCAATCCATCCAAATAAGCGGTATATTTTATCCCTTAGCATTCTATGCCCTCATGAACTCACAATTTTCTCATATAACGCCTAAAGGGCCAGGTTTACGGTAATGGGCTCGTCCGCTATGGAAGTAGAACTAAAATTATATTTGACAAAATGTGGGCATTTAATACCCTACATATTTAGTCATATAGACAGGAGTGTATGTTTGTATGTCATAAACCTATCAATCAAGACAAAAAGATTGAATTGATTGAAATGGCAGTATCAGAGCAGTGGCTCCACATTTGAAAACAAATTGTTGCGGTTTTAAACCCTGTCCGGTACACATCAATTACACAATCGACATGACCTCACTCCCAAATAAAAGCTTTTAGCTTCGAAGAAAGCCTTTGATTTGGTAAAAAAGGGTTAACAACTTTTAAAATACCTGCACCTGGAAAAAATATTCGAGGAGTTTTTGGCACAAATCGTCAACTGTAGTCGGCTCTTTTGATTGTTTTGTAAAAAACTGTTCACTAAAAACTTCTGTGTATTGTGCTTTGAGTTTAACAATCAAGAAGTTGCACAATTGAAATATCGGAATTGAGACTTATATGTTGCTAAAAGGAGGCTTTTATCGTTTTGTGACACATTTCATATAACTCATTTTGGCATTGCTTACTAGATGAAATAAACATCTATGTGACCTAAATACATTGAATAGGACCAATATTAACATCAATATATCAAAAGCCCCCTTCATAAATTCACACAAATATAGCCTACACAAACCATTTCTTAGTGTTCCCAAAGGAAAAGTAAAAAAAGCTCTGAACAAATTTTATTGGGCACGAAATTTGTTCAAAACAAACATTGGTCCAGAAGCTGGTCATGCAAATTGAATTTGCAGAGCAATTACGGTGTATCTGTATTTAAAGCTAAATCCATAATTCAGTGATGTTATTTTGGGAGCAACATTGATTTAAGGACATTTTAATTAGATTGGCAAACCCGGGAAATGTTTACAGCTAGCCTAACAATTGAAGGGGTGTTTCATTCGATCCTTCTTGTTAATTCCGTATCATTACAAGCACCTGTGTAACCTTGTAATATTAAAATCCTGGGTATTATGTCCCTTTGTACATGTGTGTTGTCCATGTCCTTTTGTACTTGATAAAAATATCAAAGTGTCATTATATTTCTGCAGGAGAATGATGACGCATAAAATGAACCATTAAAACGAATATTAAACGAAGGTATCATATCAAAATACGAAACTTTTAAAGTAATAAAGTTAGTCATAATTATTAATAATCGCATATGCTTATATTAGTGAGAACATATTTGGAATTCACTGGAAAAGATAATGCCTAAAAGCCTTAATGACCGGATGGCGTAGTGGTTTAAGCGGTCACCTCGACGCTTCCTACTTCACTTGGTGTTGTTGGTTCAATCCCGTGCGTCGTGCGTGATAAATTGTTGTTTTGAGTCTGGGTGTCCTTTGTGTCCGTTTAAGGTATGTTTGTAAAGACACTCGCGTCACAGGATTTATTCCTAGTACGGGAGTTGTCTTTAATAAAAAAAGCCGTGTGGTGTCGTAGGACACCCGATAGGAACGAAGTTGTGACGATCGAGTAAAACTGATTTGACACGATTTTAATTACAACGCCATCTATGAAAGCGGCTATTACCTACATATTAAAAACAATTAAAACATTTTATACATTGGTAAAATCTCCTTGCGAAATGATTTCCTATCTATTCGATAGATGTCTGACAAGATGACACGAAAATAAAGAGCAAAAAGCCAACATCACGTGGTATTCCCAGGCGGTCACCCATCCAAGTACTAACCACGCCCGATGTTGCTTAACTTCGGTGATCGGACGAGAACCGGTGTATTCAACATGGTATGGACGTTGGCGAACGTTAAAGCAAATTTAATGTATGGTATCCACAGTTAGACGTCAATTTATATTAATAAAAAAGTGTCGTTCCAAATTTTCGTACGAATTTTTTCCGTCTAGTCTAGTCACAACGCGCGATAAGGAACTTCGTTCCAAAAATAAAAAATAAATTAACGCCTAAAACACTGATAGTGTGTCAAGGAATATAATTTATAGAAATATTTAAATTGTTGGAATAAATCGTGGAAACCTATAGTTTGATATTAAAAAAGTCCTAAGTAAAAGTTGTTTGAATGTAGACATAAAAAATGGCCGCATATTTCTTTTAAGATAAGTTGGAAATAAGCTGGTAGGCCGGATACTTGAAGACAAGTTCGGGTACACTTATTCAATAATACATTTATAAGAAGCTTGTCGTCTTCGAGAAAGGACTTACAAACTTACCATATTGATATTCCTTTAAGGGAATCAATAAATATTAAATTAATTTTATATTGTACATGATGCTATTTTTCTGTTTACCATATTTTTCACACAAATTAATTTTGTTTTGTATTTCAGTTTTGCTGTTCGCAGTATTAACTATCGTGGTTTACGTGCGCTTTTGTGTCACTAATAATTTTTTATGTTTATTTAATATAATTTGAACGATTTCAACTTTAAATAATTTTGATATTCCATTTAGCAAAGTATTGAATTGAAGTACACAATTTCCCAGATCTTTAGCAGACACATACGCTAGAAGCTTTTGTTTTTACTCCTGGAAACGTTTCTTTATTCTCAAAGAAGAACCGTTCCTGTTTGCAGAAGGTTCTTAATTCGAAAGATGTT